GCTTCTGGACCAGTGCAGGGATTTACGTTACAGTGCTGTGCAGAGGATGCTGTGGAATTGCATCACCGCGAGACGTTTGGTCAAAAACCTGTGTAATAGAGGTGTCATGTGTAAGGGGATGGAGGTATAGTGTGTAAGGGGATGGAGGTGTCATTTCGCTGCTGCCTTCCCGATGCTCTGTTCTGTGGTACCAGGTTGTAGCCCAGGCCCCAGCACGGCATGTTGAATATCAATATGTTTTTAACCCAGAAAAATAGGCTTTTTGCAAAGCGTGCCACCAGAGGAATTGCAAGCATTGTGATTTCCTGAGTTGTTGCCCTGCTCTTGCTTCTCTTTCACTTCGTTCTTTGCCGACCTCTGCTTGGGAGATTGATGGGGAGGCCAGCAGCGACTCAGCTGCCTTCCAGGGGTGCAGCAATACAAGGGCTGACTCCTGTAGCATGATGAGGCTGTGCAATGTGTTAATATTATGATTATTATTATTTTTCTTAAAGCAAACTCCAGACTTTGCAGCCAGCCTCATTACTCACACGCTGTCCTTACGGGACCGCGTACCTCGCCTGCTCCCTGCCACGTCCCCAAGCCTGGCACTGCATCCCGGAGATTGACATCTCCTTCTCCAGCTCTGATCTCATGTCTTGACCATCTGCTTCTTCTGGTGGTCTCCAGAGGGTCTGCCAATCAGCAGAGCAGGCTCTGAATGCACAGGCAAATGGGTTAGATTATTTTTGGACCTTCCTTGCAGCCATCTGTTTGGGAGGGAGCCATGAGCTTGTCTTACCCAGCTGGGTTAAGGTGCTGTGGCAGCCTGCGAGGGAGGAGGAAGCAAACAGGATAAAGAAAATTACCCTCTTCTTAAGGAGCTGAATCAGCTGCGAGACGGCTGCGAGCTCTGTGCCAGCAGCTGGCACGGGCTGTGGGACGTGGGGATATTTCCCAGCTTCATCCCTTCGGGGCTGGCTGCTGCCTTTGGGTGACACCAGGCAAGGCAGCAAGTTTGGTTCTGCTCTGGAGCTGACTCGTGTTGCCCGTGACAACCCGGGTCTGAGTCTGTTTTACATGCACACGCATACACACATGCATATGTTGCTATAACAACCAGCCAGGACTTTTAAGAAATGTTGGACTCTGTTTTCCGGGTTGCAAAGCACCTAAGTTGTGCTGCGGTCCAGGAGGCAAACAGCTGCCTGCAGAATACTGTTTTCCCCCTAAAAAAATGTTCTAATTCAGGTATGCAAAGGAAAACATCTGTGTTAATTACCATGGGGTGTAAGGCCTCAGTATGGCAAGTGTGGCTCTGCTGCTGTTCTGGTGTTTGCCACAGCCCGTCCAGCTCTGACACAGCACGGCAGTCATGGGAGTGCTGCTCTTGGTGTCCCTGGAGCACCAGGCAGCAGCAAAGCACAAATCACAGGTCAGGAGCTGGACCCACAGCCTCCAACCCAAAATAGTGCTGTAACCTGCACAGTAACAGCCAGACGCTGCTAAGAGCAGGAGGTGCTGACAGCAAAGACCTGTATTAGCTATGGAAGCCTTATCCTATAGCTGTAGCAACTGGTTAAGATATTTGTGATATCTGTTCAACAGCATTTGTGCCCTGGAGCAGATTGAATGCTAATACTCTGTATTTTGCTGTGTTCTCTGAGTGATGAGGGTGCTCTCAGCAGTGTTGTCTTCCCCCCAAAAAGGGTTTTCTTGCAGGGAAAGGGGAAGCAGGGGGTGCACAGTAACCAGATGACGTGTGCCAGCCCTTGCACTCTGGTCTTCATCTTTCCTGCATCTGAAAGCCAGACTTGCCTTAAAACAAGACCAGAGGAAGACAGGGAGTTCTGCTTTCCTCTTGCAGGCAGTGCTTTGTCTCCCTGTGATCCAAACACTTGTGATCCTGTGATGACTTCAGTGCAAACAGCAATGTCTAGGATACCCTAGAACTTCTTTTCCCATCCTGTTGTTGTGGTTGAGGGAATGGAGAAAAAAAGGTTCTGACCATTGTCTGGGGATTTCTAGACATGCAGTAGACCAGAAACCAGCTGCAGTTGGATTGCTGGAGGTATAGAATTCCCAGACATGTGAATGTATGGGCAGAATGAATCTGTGCAGTCTGGAAGCACGTGGTAAGTTGGATCCATCTCTCTGGAGCTGGATGCCTTCTGGAGGTGCTGCAGGATGGGTATGGATGTGATGTATATGTGATGCACATGCTCCAGTCAAGTGGTTGGTTCATGCCTCCTGATATCAACCATGGTTTTTTTGGTTTGCATGAAGGCTCCTTAATGATTTCAGTGGCTTCTTGCTTTGTTCACCTGCACTCAGCATCAGGAAGCCTTCCCAGGATGATTCATCCCACAGCTCTGGGGCTGCACTTTGCCTTCCCTGGAGCACTCCATGGCTGGGGACAGGCTGCTGAGCTGAAAGGAAGACTTTTAGCTGCAAAAATTGTGCAAGCCAGCATGTGCTATTTCTGGAGCAGGCTGTAATGTATGCGTCTAGCCTGGCTCTCTTCAGCAACGGCCAAATGTTTTTTGAGCAGTAAAGAAGGTAAAATAGAGCAACACTGTGCCAGAGCCAGATTTTCCTTGCGTTCCCCAAGCAACGCCTGCAGGAGCCTGCACGTGCACTTGGGGACATGCAATTAAATGCTTTGGTCAACAGCAAATGGAGTGGGTGCCCTCAGGCACACTGGGGCTACAGAGCCCCACAGCCATGGGGCTCAGCCCTGTTTCGAAGCAGTCTGTGCCCAACTTGGGTTTAAGGCTTTTTTGTTGCAAAATGCAAAAATTAACAGCCTTCCCTGCAAGTCAACGGAAGGCAAAGCAAAGCAGGAGGGAGAAGGAAGCAGCCAGCAGGCTGAGCTGGCTCGTTAGAGTGCTGGAAGCAATTAGAGTGATGTTAGGTTGTTTCTTTGCCTGGTTTGCAGGGGAGGGTGAATCCACGATGGGTATACGAACCCTATGGCTTTTGGGTTTGGGGGGAGAGGGTTTGGGTGGTGCCCTGCAGTGTGCTGTTGGGCAGATGTCACCGTGTCAATGGCAGCAGGCCTTGGGGACAATGGGGCAATGGCAGGGGACTGCCTGTGGGCACTGACACCCTCCTGCCCTGCCCAGGAACTGATGCTCTGCTCATCCCATTGGGTGAAACCTTCAGTAAGTGCATCAGAAGATGATAGCCCAGCCCCTGAGCAGAGCTCAGCAGACAGTTGGGATGTTTGTGTATAGCACGTGCTTCAGGAATTAATTGAGCTGTGCCCGTGGTGCCATGTTCAGAAGGGAAAACCAACATTTACTCACCACCTCTGTGGGTTGTTAAACTGATTGCGTAGCACTTTTGGGTCCTTCACACTTGCTGAATTCAAACAAATTTGTTTTGTAAGAAAGCTGCAAGATTAAGGTATAATTCTATTTTATTTTATTTTTTAAAAATTTGCCTGGCATTATTAAGTAGGAGGGTTTTGCTTCACCTTCTGCTTTTTGCTCACAATAACAGAAAGTATTCTCACTGCTCTTATTCAGCTCTGTCCACAGTGTTTGTGTGAGTGCTTTTGCAATGACACTGCACAGAGTTTTCTGTGCCTTCATACTGGCCGTGCGTGCGCCAACACATTTTCAAGAGAAGGATGCAGATTTAAAATCATTTAATCTAATTGCTGGCAGCAGAAGGCATGGTGGGAAAGATGCTCTGAAGAACTGCTGGATGGGCTAACAGCATTAGGTCCATTAAATCCTCCGGGAATGAACTGTCAGTAGATATTTCCTCCTATGTAATGGGAAAAATGAATTTAATCAGACAATAGGAGTAAGTTATTCTTTAGGTCAGTACTAAGAGCTAAAGGAAAATAAGAGTCACTTGCTCTTTAGTTCTGTTCTAAGCTAATCTCAGCCTTTTGCTTTTTCATTTCTTTTCCTGGGAATCTTCCTGTAACCTGCGGTGATTTTTGGATTTCTGTTCAGGCTTAGCCCTGCTGGCTCTCAGGTTAGAATGGAACAAGAGTTCCTGACCATGCCAAGAGCAGCTGGCCCTGTGGCATGGCCATGGTCCAGCTCTGAATGTTCAGGATGGGGTCTGGTTCCCATCTGGGATCTTTGGTTTTAGAGGAGCTGGAAAGCCTGTGACCAGCCTGTGCCTTCTATACGTGCATCTGTCAGTGAGTCATTTCATGTGTGAAAATAATTTCATCAAAAGCCATTTCAAGTCTAATGTTTATGAGTAACTGCGATGTGAGACCGTGAAGGGCAGCAATGAATGAAGGTGGAGTGGGTCAGCATGCTTTGCTGCAGCCCAGTCCAGAGATCATAGCATGAATCATAGAATGATTGAAAAGGACCACAGTGCTCATCCAGTTCCAACCCCCTGCTGTGTGCAGGTCACCAACCAGCAGCCCAGGCTGCCCAGAGCCACATCCAGCCTGGCCTTGAATGCCTGCAGGGATGGGGCATCCACAGCCTTGGGCAACCTGTTCCAGTGCCTCACCACCCTCTGGGTGAAAACTTCCTCCTAATATCCAACCTAAACCTCCCTTAATTTAAAACCATCCCCCCTTGTCCTATCACTGCCCACCTCACAAACAGCCGTTCCCCCTTCCTGTTTATCCGCTCCCTTCAAGTACTGAAGGCCACAATGAGGTCTCCCTGGAGCCTTCTCTTCTCCAAGCTAAACAAGCCCAGTTCCCTCAACCTTTCTTCATAGGAGATACACTTCTCCAGAAGGATTCTCATGAGGAGACCACAGGGGACAGTAAAATGAAAGATGCCACTAAAGATAAGGCCAAAACAATGGTATGAGAGCTGCAGAAAAGGAGCAAAAGGGTAAGAATAGAATCATCGAATCGTAGAGCTGCAGAATCACAGAACCACAGAATAACAGAATGCCTTGGGTTGGAAGGGACCTTAGAGATCAAAGGAAAAGCCCTTATGTCTCCATGGCAGGCAGTGTGTCTGTGGCATGAATGACTTGTTTGATTTAAAATCACCCCTTACACCTCGGTCTCCTGTGTTTCTCTCCAGGCTCCCTCTCCCAGGTCGCCATACGAACACCCTGAGCCTCCTCGAAGTGCTGGAGATGAACCCATAGCAGTGAGCAGCAGGTAGGAGGCTCAGCCCTGGCCTTGGTGCCATGTGCTGCATGGCCCATCACCGGGGTGTTCCAGGATCTCATTTTGTGCACTCCTTTGAGGTGATGCACTTGCTGGAGTTTGCAATTTCAGGGTGAGATGGTTGGTGATGCATCATTCTAAAGGATGTCTAGAGTGGCAGAGGTCTGACTCGTGTTTTCACTTGTGTATTTCTGCTTGCTGTGTGCTGTTGGTGTTGCTTGAAGCTGCCTGGACAAAATCATGCCCATGTCCAGGTCCTTGCTGCAATTGTCTGAGCCCAGGAGATGTGCAGGTTGCCTCTCAGCTCCTTCTGCTGTGGTTTTCTGTCTGACTCTGTAACCGGCAGCTGGATCCTATAAAATATTTAGAAGCAGAGGCTGTGGTTGCTTTTTGTGCCTTGTAGATGAGGACATGGCCATCAGGTACCCAACTTCTGTTCTCCCTTACTGCCCTTGCAGTGCACCTTGCAACTTTCCTGAATTTGCTTCACTTACTGATGAAAATTCACTCTTCTTAGTGATGCTGGTTGTTTAACTATAGGGAAATTTGTGGAAATGAAGCACGTGGAGCACTGAGAAGACCCTCCAGGAGAAGATGGTGAACCAATGCCCAATGCTGGGCATTGACACTTGCATGTATGTGGTAGCACAGCCCAGGACTTGCGTGCACTGGGAAGTTTTTAGAAACCAGGAATCACATGGCTGGTATGACACAGATGGATGTGGCTCTTGTGTGAAAATTGGGTTTGATTGCTGCCTGCTTTGGAGCACACAGCCTTCAGAGGTGCACACCTCATGGCAGTTTGGTGGTTCTCTGCAGGTTTGGTGCAGCTCTGTGTTGTTGTTTTCAGAGTTGAAATGTGGTATAGCACAGGGCAGGCAGCAAAACAGCATTTCTGCATGGATAAAAGAGCAGGAGAGCCATGGGGGATGAAGGAAGATGGGCTGGAGAGGCCACCTGCAAAAGCTGCAGCCATGTCTGGGGGAGAAGCTGCAGTCCTGGCAGCAAGGGGAGAATGGAAGGAGGATGTTACCATGTGGCATGGCCTCATCTTCGGTCTCAATGGCCAATGGTAATTGAAGGGGACAGATTTTGCCCCACTGCAGCAGCAGGTAGCCTGTCTCCATCAGGAAAGTACTTTTTGCTCCATGGCTGTTATAGCTCATTATCTCACTGACCTTTAATTCTGCAAGTGTTCCTTGCAATGTGTTTCTTCAGCCTGCTCCAGCTCCTGACCTCCGTTCCCAGAGGCAGCAGGATAAAATATTCATCTGCTGTGCTGTCTAGCTGCTTTGCATCCCTCCTCCACCCCTCTGTCTCTGTCCTTTTTGGCAATCTGTCGTTTTTTCTTTTTGGTACGAGTCCAGGAGCTGATCAAAAAGTACTTGGGCAGCTGGAGCAAGAAACAATGGGTTTTAAAAACACTTTAATGTGTTTGTAAACAGGTATTCTTCATCAGGGTCCCTGCCCAGTGCACTGGCAGCAGGTAAAACTGAGACTCTTCTGAGGTCAACATTAATTACATGGTGTAAAATGGTGCACAGTGATCAAAGATGCGATGGGAGGTATCTCCTGTCCCACTGCCCTCATATCTTCCATAGAATCATAAAGGTTGGAAAAGACCTCTGAGATCACCAGCTGTGATACCGTGCTCATCACTGTAGTCACTGAGCACCTGAGATTGCTCTTTTCTCAACTGCAGCAGGGAAGATGGGCAAAGATTGCTAACAGTGTTGGCAGCATTGTGTTGGCTTTGAGGGTGCTCCAGAGATGTCACACTTGTTGAAATTCAGCTGCTGGGGAAGACTGATGCAGAGAAGAATCCTGCTGTCTCATCAAAATCTCCGTTTCCCCCTGATTTCCTCAACTTGCTCATAGTGGGCAAATGGAGGAGGAGAAAAGCCAGAAAGCACTGAAACCAACCCCTTTGCTGCACCCTAGCACAGCTCCCAGCCCCTGGCTGCTCTGGAGATGCTTGGGGACGGATGCAGCCACTCCGAGCTCTCCCGTGAGCAGCGGCGTAATTGCAGAAATTGGCACGGTGGCTTGGAACGAGATCTAATTAATTAATTCAAGACATGCTGGGATTCAATTTTATTAAACCTTGGAATCAGAGTAGACTAGATGAAATGTAAGCAAAGGTTTGGGAGGGGAGGGGTGTGAGCTGCCTGCCAGCACTGCCGTCATGGGACCTTCGTGCCCTTCACCAGCACAGCACCGAGGGCACACTCAGGGTATAGAAGTATATATGTGTTGTGTACACATATACATCCAGCAGCAGCCTGCTGTGAGGGTTTCTCTGCAGCTTTGACTATCAGAGAGGCTCTGTTTCCCCCACCCCCTTCTATGTTGCCTTGTGCAAGGTGCCTATCCGTCTCTCTTGCTCCCCAACAGCCCCAGCGGTGATGAAGGGGTTTCTTTGGCCTCTCCCTGCCCCTGTGCTGATGGATGTGGCGTGCTGCATCCAGAGCTGCCTGTTATTTCATAATAAGGGATGTCACCTCTGGATTTACTGCCTGTAATGTGATTTGGGGTCTTCCGGAATGGAAATCCGTTGCTCACGCCTTCATATCTTCAAGTTTGCTCTGCTTCCAGCTATCAGGTGTCTGTGTGCTGCCTTTCCATTGCTGAATTTTGCAGGATAAAGTCTTTTCTTTTTTAAACCAGTGCTTATGTAGGGTGCCTGCAGAACCCTCAGCTCTCTGAGAAGAGGTACAGAAGCTGCAGCCTTCCCAGGGTGTTGCTTTGCCTGCCTCATCCAGAGCATCGCACACGAGCCAGCTTCTGTGCTGACAGTCGCAGGAATAAACTTAACACTAATTTTAACTCTACCTCCGAGGTGGGTATATCTCTGGGGTGAGGGCACAATGAATGCCCTATTCATGAAACTACAAACACAGTAAAAAGAAGAGAGAGAGAGAAAAAAAAAAGTGTCCCACCCTAACGTGTTTCTGATCTCCAAATAGCTCTAATTTTGGCTTACTCAGAGAACAAGCCGAGGTAGTGTTCGTTTTAACAGCCAGGAAAGGGCTGTCTGTTTATATTTAGGGCCTTGTAGATTTGCACAGCGTGTGCAGGTGGCACATTAAAACGTGTGGATGATTTCTTACCAGGATAAGGCTGTGTTTTTACTGGAGCACCTTTCATTTTCTACGAAGGCTAAGTAAGCACTGAGAATCTTGTTGCAATGCGTTCTGGGGTTAAATGTAATGGCTTTTGGAGTGTTGTTCTGAGCTTAATCCTGGATTCCTCTCTCCTTGCACCTTCCTATGTGGCTCTGCCCAGGACTCACATTTTGAAGAGCAGGTTGGCATCTCCTGCCACCTGGAGCCTGTAGGGCACTGATGACTCTCACTTGCTTACCAGTGCTGGCACACTGCTGCCTGATGAACAAGTAGGATGGATAAAGAGCATCATGAGCATCTTCCTGCAGCAAGGAAGCCCCAGTCACTTCAATTGCTTGCAGCTCTGCACCTCTGGTTGAAAATGGTTGTGCTCCCTAAACCCCAGCCATGCACGTCACCCCGTTGACTCCAGGAGATTCAGGAACCCATTCACTGCTCACCTGGAGTCATCTTGATTTCAATGACTTTTCTTAGTCTGTGCTTTTGGGCTGTGGCTCCTGGCATTTGGGCATTGTTCCTGTTTGTCCTCCAGTGCTGCAAAGTCCCGATCCACATGCAAAAGGGACAACTCTCAAGTGAGACTGAGACAGGCTTTCCAGTTCTTTGAAGCAGCAGCAGCCTTTAAGTAAGCCTTGCATCCTGCTTGCTGCTGAGACACGGGAGATAACCGAGCAGCAAGCACAGGTGCTGAAATTCTCTTGCTGGCATTCAGGAGCTGAAAGCCTCGTCCAGCTGCACTTCATCCTTCTGCCACCCTTTGGAAATCACTCACTGACCACTAACCCTGCTCGTGCCTTTTGCATGGAGAATCCAGATGCTCATTTGGTGTTCGTAAGGCTTACCCAGATCCCAGGGCTAGGGAGGGCTTTGCGGAGTGGAGTGCAGCTATTAATGTGACTTTCCTTGGTCTCCTGGAGCTCCTGGCCCTCTGAGATTTGTTCTTGGATCCAAAATTAGAAAGCTGTTGATGCTTCGTTCATTCAGAGTTACGAAAGGGGCTGTGACTGAGCTGAAACATTGGGCAGCTGTGAGCAAATGAGGCTCAAAGCGGTTGCAAGAGCAGGATGGAGCTCAGCACGGAGAAAAGATACCAAGTTTTAATTATAGGTACCTGTGCCATACCAAGGGCTTGGGAGATGGGGCAGAAAAGAGTGAAACGCAGGTTCTGTTTGCACTGAACTATTTCTGTGCCTGTTTGGGTACTTTGCTGTGGTAACCAAAGGACCTATTTTTAGTACCTTTCCCAAGATGCTCCTCCTCACTCCACTGAGCTGCTTGGGAAGCTTGTGTACAAAACTGTCCCAGGGGTCTTTGAGTTAAATTGAATCTTAATTCAGATGGATTCCAAAGGATGATGTTCTTCAGAATACATCAGATTCTGCAGGACACCACCCTGGCTGTGTGTCCTGCTCAGAATTGGGCTGGTCATCCCCCACATCCCCAGTTCCAGCATGTACCTACTTGCATTGCCACGAAGAGGTGGAAAAGTCTGCTTTTATTTTGTCAGATCCTGATTATTGCATAAACCCAATCATATTGCAATGGCAATTCGTCTTAAGAGTTTAACAGAGTAATCCACAAATCCATTCCTTCCTGGTCCCCAATGAAATGCCTCTGAGTCCAACATAGAAAAGATCAGCTCTCTGTTTCCCTGGGAAGATCCATCATAGGGGACAACAAGCAAGTTTTGTTGTATGTTTGTGTCCTTATGGTGAGACTTTCACCCTATTCTCTTCGTCTTACAGTCCTTCAGATTTCACTGCACTGACAGTGGGGTATTTCTGTACCCCAGCTCGCAGATTGAAGGCATATAGAAAATTCACCTTGAAATATTTACTTCTTGAGAAAGTGTTGTTAGTCTTCATA